CTGTAGTTGGTCCCAACTCACAACAACCCTCGATAGATTTCCAAGGTCCTGCTTGTGGGTGTAAACCAGGAACCTTGCGGTTAGCATTCTAGTGCTTATCATATAGCAGCTCACCAGAACTCCTCTCTCCACATTTCACATCCCTGAAACGGCACATGAATTCCTAGATTTTCTACATGGGATTAGCTCCTATACCCACAATCAGACCTGGCTCAGGAGATTAGCCATTACCACACACCTGACTTCCTTGCATCCTTCCTTGACCTCCCACAAAATGAACACATTGCATTTGAATCCTTGAGTGGGATTCTGGGAGAATTCAAATCAATATAACCAACACGAGGGAAAGGTAGTGTCTTTCCACCCACATCCTCTGTGAGAAGTTCACATCAGGGAAAATGGCCATGGGACTGAGCACATGGCCTTGCATCTACGGAAAGGGCTCATTGTTCCTGCCCTTGGGATGACTCACCCTGAGAGCCACACACTTGCTTCTGCTAGGTGGCAGACTTAGCACCTGAGCCAACAACTGCCCAGGAACCCGAGAACCACAGGAGCCTAGGACACACTCTAGTGAAGGCTCAGAGGGCAGAAGTGTGACCTCTAGAAGTAAAGTCAAGTCCAGAAGGGAGTTGGGGAATCTTGAGGCCCACCTGAGCAGATGACACCCGCGTCCTCACTGTGTCCACAGTTATGGGAGAGCCAGCCTCTATGGGGACAGTTCCACAGGAACGACTCGTGTCCTGAGCAGCGCAAATCGTCCAGTACAATCGGTCCTGTGCCCTGACCGAACCGGGCACTTCCCGGAGCCGATACGGCCCAGCCACAGCCAAGCTGCCTGCAGACCACGTTGGCATCATTGGTGTCCCAGCTGTCGTCACACACTGTGCCCCAGGAGCCTCGGTACAGGATCTCCACGCGGCCCTGGCACCGGTCACCTCCATTCACCAGCCTCAGAGCCAAACTAGAATCTGTCCCTAACAGATGATTTCTCATTAGATTCTCTCTTGAATATTCATTCCTTACAGATTCCAAGAACCGACACCAAATCCCAACAACTTAAGCTTGGTCATGCATGCTCCAGCCCTCTCCTGGAAAGGGACAGTGACCCCCTTTTCCTTCTTTGGACTCAGAAACCTTGTGTTAAATGGGCCATACCCCTGACTCCTCTCTTTTCCAGGTTACCCATGCTGACTCCCCACCTAAAGGGTCCTTTTGATGGCTTCAAGCTCTGCTCTATGCTGTGCCCTGCAGATTGGTTTGATAATACCTGAATACATCCTTCTCCCTTTCCCACCCCCGACATAGGCTCACAATGAGCACAAACAGGCCATACCCTCCCGAGCCAGGAAACCCACCAGTCTCTTCCCAGAGGAAACAGAGAAGGGTTTGGACATTCTGCCGTTTCTGTGACCTATGTTGGTAGAATCCCAATCCACACTGGGCTCTAATCATTTTTGGAAGGACATTAATAACACTTCATGAAGTCCCTAAGTTTCTCCAGACTCAACTCAATTCTTGAGTTTATGGCAGGGCCCATGGAGAGAGAGTTCTGGGGAAACATACTTGTTTGCGCTGTGGTGTAACTTGTGTTCACTGTCACATCTGTAAGGGACAGAAAGGACAGAAAATTTAGGCCACCCACACTGATAACTTGGCTCCTTCCCACAAAAGCCTTGGGCCAGACCACATGGCCCCCATGTTTTCTCAGAATTTTGTCTTCTTGTTGTCATGTTACAGGGCTGGGCATCTCTTCTCTGCCGCTCAGTCAGAGATTCAGTAACCTGGTCTGGGAGAGGATCACACAGCGCAACCAAAGCCTCAAAGGCTGTGACATTTTCTAAATTGGAACCTGGATGCCTCTTCCTTCTGTAATCCTGAGACACGTTTCCAGGACTCATTGTCTTGGAGTGAAAGGGTGGAGGGTGAGTACTTCCAGAAGCTGTGGTACACCCAAGATGGAGTGGGAAACTCTAGTGAATTTTCTTTTTTATCATGGAGCCTGGTCCTCATGACTTTGCTATTGTGTCCAGCTTTTCTGATCAAGTCCCACCAGGCCCCTGAGCGGTTCCATCAAGTTCCACCTCTGATGAAAGTCAAATGGAAGAGCCTATGATGAAGCCACTTTCCTTCTCCAGAATCCCGCCAGCAAGTGTGTTTTGGATTTGTTTGGTGTATTTTAAAGATAATTGGTATTGTGTTTCTTTCAAAAAATCAAATCTGAGAAGTGAGGGGAAAACAACAATGAAAATGCCATCTAAGCCTTACAACTTTCAATATACTCCTGTGAACCCAGGTGGAGACCTGATTGGCAAGTAGTGTGGCAAGACCTGAGGACTCTTGGGCCCAGAGTCAGTGACATAGGCACAGAGGACTAGAGTGGAGAGTGAAGTGTCCAGCTGATAAGAAGAGAGGGCATATGCATAAGAATACCCACACTTGCAGATAATACCCACTTGACCTGGCTTCAGTGACTTGAATGATCAGAGCTCAACTAGAAGAAGTAGAGAGAAAAAAAAGAGTAATCTGATACAATCGGATGAACTTGACCTACACTTATGGATGCAGTAGCTCAAAAGAGGGAACAAATCTTTATAGCAAGGATCATTCCCACCCCCTCCACACACAGAGTAGACAGGGATGAGCAACTTGGACATTGGCTACCCAAAATGGAGGGTGGGGGGCTCCAAAGGCAAGAAGTGACTGGCTTACAAGCTTTCAAGAGGGAGCCTAGATCCAGAGGGCATGGAGGAAGGTAGAATCGCCACTGAGTAGTATCCAATCTGTCTGGGCAGGGCTGATAAAAGGAGATGGGGATAGGTCTCTTGTGATACAATAGTGAATAATTGTTATCAAAACTGTTTGTGAGAGTTGGAAATGTAAACATAGACATTTTGTAGCCAAAGGAGGGGAGTGATTGACTTTGCATTCTAGGAGCAGAGGTCCCTGGGACCATTAAGGGAGAAGAGCGGAGAGCGGGACCCTACCCAGAGAAGCAGTGACGACAGAGATGGAGGCAGAGACAATGACATGGAGGGATGGAGCAGCTAGGGACTTTAGACACAGAGAAGGAAAGAGGCTGTGTGTTAACCCTTTGGTTAGTTGATGATGCATGGAGGGGATTGTAACCATAGCAGTGAAATGATATATATGATATACGATAGGATGAATATAAAGCTAATGTCTTCTCATGTAAACTATCACATAGTTCACAATAAAACATTTTTAAAAACTCAAGTCTGAATACCCTGGGAGATATACTGGTTCCATTTGCCTCTTTTTCTCTTCTTGGCTTTCCCCCTGATCCTTAGAGTTATTTCTAGGTGAGAAGCACGTGGTCTAAGACACAGAAGACAGTCACCGTAATGACTATTTGGAACTTGTATTGAGCCCCTTACGCTGAACCAACTCATCAGATTTCCCAGTTATCTGAACACCACAACCTACATGTTTGGCTCTGCAGTCCACATATTACACAGCAAGAGTTTATCTCAGAGTAGGGGAGAAAGTGACTGAGGGATCCATTCTTTCAGCTACATCACAGATCTCCGACTTGGATGCAGGTATCACGATAATAACCCAGCGGCCCTGCCTTCCACATGATAAAGTCCATTGTTCTCCAATAATATGTGACTAATTTGGGGAGACACAACTCTGATATCCTCTTAGATGATGAAAGGCACAATATGCTGTTCCATAACAGGCAGTAATCTCACCGTGTTGAGAACTGGTGGAGAAGTGTATGTGTCGCCACCAAGAGGATGGTAGAGAAAGGACTCAATGGAAAGACCCTCCTTGAGCTGGCTAACAATGGTTACAAAGGACACACACACACACTAGCAAGACAGAGGGTGAGATTAAATGCCTTGTTAGAAGACACTCCAGCATGTCTTAGACACAGGGGAGGGAAAGAGGTAGAAGCAAATCTAAAAGCATAAAGAAGACCAATCTTACTGGCTTACAAGAACAGGTGGAACCAGAAAGACTGTAGCCCTTAGACAACCTTCAAGACTAAAATGGGACCCACCCCTGGGGGTCAACTTTCAGCAAAACAGTAGACAGGCCTGCCAAGTGTATAATACCACCCAGAAGTTCTATACTCCTCAGAACAATCAAACATGCAAGACCATAAGGACATCCTTTCCCTAAAATCAAATCTCACAAGGTTGGAGGGTGCAGGAAAGAAGGATGAATGGAAATGGGGAACAAAGGGAAAGAGTTTTGTTACATTGAGGGGATCACAACCAATGTTACTAAAAAAAATGTGTACATATTGCTGAATTGGAAAACATTTGCTCTGCAAACCTTCACCCAAACTACAATAAACAAAGAAGAGACAGACTAGTAGAGAGTGGCATGATGAATAAATCCCCTTTATCCCCTCACCCAAGAATCTAAATGTTTACATGAGAACTTCACGTGAGGTCTATGTCTAGAAAGATGTCAAATTCAAAGTCAAATAGAGATGGTCAGCCCTCTGTGGGATAGCACAAACAAAATGGTGTGGACCATGCACAGTTGTTGGGGGCTGCCAACCTGGGGGATAAAGAAAACTATGTTGGGAAAGAATGAAGTAGAGTGTCAACCATGTTGAACCTGGGGCCCATGCTAAATGAGATGTGAAGCTCCTTCTCCAAGAAGTGACTAAAGACTTTAGAGGCAGAGTCGCCCAGGGGGATGGGTCTCAGTCATTCTTCCAGAGGAGAGAGAGAGAGGGCATCAATGTATGTGCAGCTCAGAGTTAACAGAGCTCATTACTCGATCAAAATCCAATGACCCTGCCAGTCTCTGGGGTGGTGATTTTCACAGAGACCAATCTCAGATCTCCTAATGCATGATCACTTAGAAACATATCACTGGTCACCTCTCCCACACAAAGTATACAATGATTTCTCTTTCCCTTCACTCACTCAGGATCTCGGGACCAGACTTTGCATTCTAGAGGGAAATGATCCCTGGAACTGAACCACCTCCCCACACTCTGCAGCTCCAAATGAGGCCTCTATGGGCCTTGTGTTGTGTTTCCAGAACAGTTTACCCACCAACGGTGAGCTATGCATATCCATCTGTGTGGTGCCTACCCAACTGCTGCAATGAGCACATTTTAAGATTTTCCAGAGAAATTGTTACAGTGAAAAATACTTCTATAACCTAAAGGAAAGAATGAATGCTGCCAGGAAGGGATGTGTCAAGTAAGATACTACCAGACATACCTGGCCCAGGTGGTGATGCCGGCTGAGAAGCTGGAAGAGAAAGCAAAATTAGTTGCAGGTTTATTGTAAAGCAGGTATCACAGATGATACTGTGGGATGGAGGGGGAAAAATGGCAGGTACAACAGTGGTCTCCTTGGGGTAAGAATGTGAAGAAGACACCATCTAACTTTACAGAGCAATGTTGCATGATCCATAGTTTCATTTAGGGGCAAAGTCTGGGTGTGCCCCCTGGTTACTACCCATTACCCCTCCCTCAGGCACCATCTGACTAAGGGTAGAACTTCCACAGGTCTATGTGAGGAGATGAAGCTCTAGAAACAGGGCCAGGTGTCCAGGTTGATGCCCACACCCACAGAGAGTGGTCCAGGAGTCTTTGAGGCCTACCTGAGCAGATGACACCAGCATCCTGCCTGTGAACACAGTCATGTGAGAGCCAGCCATTGTGGGGGCAGCTCCACAGGGAGGACTCGTTTCCTGAGCAGCGCAATTCATCCAGGACGATTGGACCCGACCCCTGACCAAACTGGGCATGTCCAGGGGCCCAATGGGCCCAGCCACAGCCTAACTGCCTACAGACCACATCAGCGTCATTTAGATCCCATCTGTCGTCACACACGGTGCCCCAGGAGCCTCGGTACAGGATCTCCACTCGACCCTGGCACGGGTCACTTCCATTCACCAGCCTCAGATCTAAACCAGAGTCTGTCCCTAGAAGAAGACACAAGCATTTCTTTTAGATGCTTCTACTGAGGGCCAATGTCTTCGAGCTTACAGGGTATTCAAGGGGCTTCCTGGTGGGCAAAGATTCTTGAGAAAACATCTTTATTTGGCTGTTTGATGATGCATGCAGGGAATTGTAATGATTGCAATGAAACGAAATAGGAGGATGAATGTAAAGCTAATGTTCTCCCATGTAAACTATCATATAATTCACAATCAAAACTTTTTTTTTTTTTTAAACCATCTATTATAGGAGTCCTGGTGTGGCACTGTGGGTTAATGCTCCAGACTGCAAAACCCTTTGAACTGCAAGGTTGGTGGTTCAAGCTCACCTCGGAAACCCTATACAGGATCACTATGGTCTGGAACCAACCTACTTGATGGCACTTAACAACAACAATTATGGGGATGGGCAATCTAGATATTAGCTATCCAAAATGGGGGATTATAAAGGTACAGAGTGGCTGGCTTCTAAATTTTCATGAATATGCTTGGTTTCAGAACAAGGGGTGTAATGTAGAATTCCAGCTGAATAGTTTTTTCTCTTCTCCAGGTGGGTCTGGTGAAAGGGGCTGGGGAATGATGCTGATAGGATTTTAAGATTCAATTGTAATTGTTAGCAGGATTAATTGCAATGGTCACAACTGTAATTGTAGAAAATGTATAACTAAAAGCGGGGAGTAGTTCATCTTTCATTTCAGGAACAGATGATCCCAGGACCATCAAAAAGGAAGAGCATGAGTGGTGTGTGAGATCCCACCTAGGGTAGCAGAAAAGCAGAGTTGGTGGTATGGAGAGACAGAGCAGCTGCGGGCTCTAGGCCCATGGACTGAGAAATACTGTGTGGTGTGCCTGTGGGCAGGAGGCTGGTTTGCAAAATGTGCCCTTTGGACATTTCAATGAATATATATTTTTGTTTTGTATGTGTACATCAAATATTTTTGCTTTGTTGATTTATGAAAAACAAGATGTAAAAGGGAAGCCACAGGGAGGAAGTAGGATAACTGTTGTTGCAGGAAGGGAATTGCAATTATTGAGATGAAAGAAAACATATGATTGGTTGGGGTAAAGCTGATTATCTTGTCTGTTAACTTTCACTCAATTCAGAATAAGAAGTAAAAAAAAAAAAGAAAGAAAGAAAAAGCTATTAGAGGAAGTCTCTATAAATCAACCTAGTCACCCTGATTCTGATCTGCCCTATGTGACCCAAGCAAGACTCCAGGGACAGATGCAAAAATACTTTTGCTTCTAGTTTTGATGTCTCTAATTTATTTTTCTTGTCTAATTGAATTGACTAGTATCTGCAATACAGTATCAGTAGCAGTGGGGAGTGGGGATGGAGGGCATACTTGCCTTGTTTCTGATCTTAGTGAAAATACAACTTGTGTTTCCCCGTTAAGTAACATTGTTGTTGTTGTTAAGTGCCGTCGAGTCGGTTCCGACCCATAGCGACCCTGTACAGGGTTTCCGAGGGTGTAAATCTTTACGGGAGTAGAAAGCCTCATCTTTCTCCCGCGGAGCGGCTGGTAGTTTCGAACCGCTGACCTTATGGTTCGCAGCCCGATTCGTAACTACTACGCTACCAGAGCTCCTTATTAAGTAAGATACTGGCTTTAAATCTATGGTTTCCAAAGTACTCCAAGAAGCTGTGGTATGTGTCCAGTCCCAGTCCTGGGACTCGGAGGGGAGATAACTTAATTGCTACTCCTTCTCCTGCCCACTGCAACCATGCGGGTGTGGCACTGTGAGTTAATGCACTGCACTGAAAAGTCGGTTTGAACCGCAAGTTCAGTGGTTCAAGCTCACCAGCTGTTCTTTGGAAATCCTATGCAAAGTTGCTATGAGTCGGAACCAGAATATTGAGCTTCCATCTGAGTTAGCTATTGGGCTTCTGCGTGAGGTCTCTAACAGGGTAGCTTCAGTTAAGCCCTGTCTACAGTCCTCTGCCTCTAAGACTCTCCACCCACACCCCATCCCTGGATTGTTGTGCCATGTTTTGCAGTGTGCAGCTATTGTTTGTGGGGGTTGAGGGGTTACTACAGAGAAGAACATGTTCTCCTATTGAAAATGCTGAAAATAAGAGAAGTGGGAATTTGGGGAAGGGACATGAATAAGTTAAAGTCAGTCTTGTCCTCAGCTATAGTGCCATCTGTGACCTTAATTAAAGGGAAGAGAAAAATAAGGACAAGTCAGGCCTCACCCCATGGAAAGCAAAGGGCCCAAGGGACAGAAATGACTGATAATACACCATCAGGGTCCCCCACTGGCCCTTGGTGATTCCTGGGCAGGACAGAATCTCTGGTGTGGAGGCTGTCCCTGATGTCTGCCTAGCACAAAGCTTTCTGTGGGAAGTGGGCTGTGACTTCCTCTCCCAATGCCCAGGTTCTCGGGTCCCCCAATGCCAGGTCTCCCAGGTCTCTCACTGGAGGTACCCTCAGGGTCTCTGATACACATCATATCTCTAAGTTAAGATAGAACCAGGGCAGCCTGATACAGACTCAGGAAAAGAGCATGGGCAAGGACGCAGCCCCTGTAAGTTTACACCTGCTTGTCCAGGATCAGAAGATGGAGACTTCGCACCCCAGTCTGACCTGGAGTCAGCATGCATGGACGAGGACCACAGCAATGGATGCTGAGTATGGACAACAGGAGTCCTGGAGGCAGCACGTCAGGCTCCACCTTGGAGACATCGCTCCAGGTTCATTCTGCCCCAATCTCAGGGACACAGACCAAGGAAGAGATGCTTGTTCAGGCCTGGGGCCTTGTTCAGAAGAGCTCCCTTGGCAACTGAGCACCCTCCCATTCTGAGCCAAAGATCTCCTGCAAAATGGGCAACAATCTCCTTCTAACGTTGTTGTTACAGACAGGGGCTCCCTGAGGACAACAACGTATCTATAGGTTACCAGCAATCCTCGGGAGAAACATGAGGCTTTCTGCTCCCATAAAGGTTTACAGCCTTGGAAACCCTATGCAGACTTGCTGTGAGTCAGAACTGCCTCCACAGCACACCACCACCACCACAGAGTGGAAAAAGGAAGAGGTCACTCAACACTGGTCCTCACTTGAGGGGGACTGGAAAGAGAAAGTACATCAAGAGACCAAGCCTCGGCTACCTGCTAGTTACATGGTCCTGCAGAAGTCACCACATCTCTGACCCTCTGTTTCCTCAGCTCTAAAAGGAGGAGCTTGATGCAGAGGCCCTAAAGATCCCTCCATCACTAAAAGACCATGTTCTCAAAGGTGAAGCAGAAAGTTTGTCTCTAGGCCTCAGGGTTATAGTTCATCACCAGCCGTGGTGGCTCTCCTTCTCCTCTCTCCTCCTCCACGTCCTAAATCACCATCTAAATATAGCATCCTGCCCTATTCACCAGATTACCAGCTAGCCCTATTCACCAGATTTGACTGCAAATAGCATTTGGCTTCTTTTATAGCACAAACAAGGAGCTCTGGTAGCATATTGGTTACGAATCGGGCTGCTAATCTTAGAATCAATAGTTCAAACTACCAGCTGTTCTGTGGGAGAAAGATGAGACTTTCTGCTCCTGTAATGATTTACAGCCTCGGAAAACCTGTACAGGGTTGCTATGAGTCGGAACGACTCCACTGCACATAACCACCATCATAGTGGCATGGGGTCCCTAGAAACTACAGCTCCCAGGCACCTCACAATTGTTGTTAAGTGCTGTCGAGTCGGTTTCGACCCATAGCGACTCTGTATAGGGTTTCCAAGGAGCATCTGGTGAACTTGAACCGCTGACCTTGCAGTTCAAACGGCTTTGCAGTCTGGCGCATTAACCCACAGCGCCACACCAGGACTCCCCACCTAACAGTAGTCGTGGAAATTACCTTACATTCACGCCAGGGGGCGCTGTGGTTCAATCTTGGGCTGTGTGCTGCCAGCGTTCTCCCTACAAGTGTTTGGATTTTTGCAATTGTCGATAAAATCAAGTGGGTTGGATAGTAGTATTCAATCATTTCAGATGAAATAAAGCTCACGTCTCCTTACTGGACCCCTTAATACTGCAGTTTAGAGTCACAAGATACTATTCTGTTCTCAAAAAGAAGGGATGGTGAGGGTTGGAAATGTAAAAGTAGACGTTTTGTAGCAAGGAGGGGAGTGATTAACTTTGCAGTCTAGGAGCGGAGGTCCCTGGAACCAACAAAGGAGAAGAGCGGAAAGCGGGACCCTACCCAGAGAAGCAGTGACGCCAGAGATGGAGGCATAGACGATGACGTGGCGAGATGGAGCAGCTGGGGACTTTAGACCCAGAGAGGGAGAGGGGCTGTGTGCTGATGACCCAGGGGAAAGCTTGCAGGGTGTCCTCTTTGGTTGGTTGATGATGCATGGAAGGGATTGTAACCATGGCAATGAAATGAGATACGATGGGATGAATGTAAAGCTAATGTTCTCCCATGTAAACTATCACATAATTCACAATAAAACATTTTTTAAAAAAGGAAAAAAGAGTTAAAGTGAACAGTGGTAAATACTGTCAACCGACGGTAGTTGTTCTTCAGTGCTGTGTGTTGAGTTGTTGCTGTATAAGGTTTCTGAGGAGCAGCTGATACTGGAGGGGATTGTAATCATTGTAATGAAATGAAGTATATGATTGTTGGTTATAAAACTGATGATCTGTTCTGTAAACATTCACTCAATTCACAATAAAAAGCTTTAAAGAAAGAAAAAAGGGCGGGGGGGCTGGACGACAGAAGACAGTGTAAACAGTTGTCAGGGATCCTGGGTGAAGAGTTGAATCCCTTCTCCAGACTGAAATTGGGATAAAGTAGGTACAGTAAATAGTTGGATGCCCCTAAGTAAGCATTTTATGAAGTCTGAGCTGTCCTGTTCCTTCACATCCATACCCTGAGAAGTCTCCATTCTATCTTGAAGCTAATAGGAATCTGAGTCCAGCAAACACTCTCTAGCTCCTCCTCACTTCCGGCTAACTCCCTGGATGACATCAGAGCCTGCAGGATTCCGTCTTACATTTTGAGTTCCTTTTCTAAGCTAACTACTTTAAAAGGTTTGATATTTCAGGACTTTCGTATGTGTTTTGTGCTCTTGCAAAGAACACTTACTCGTTAAAGAAAAAAAGAGAGTAAATAAAACTCATCTTGCTTCACAATCATCGTATAAATTCACTGGATCCTGTTATAAATCCAAGATTCATTGTGAGCTCTGACTGATTCCTTTTTTCCTAGTCCTTAAAATGCCTTGCTAGTTCATCCTCTGAAGGATTGGTTTATCATTGTACATCAATCATTAACTATTCTTTTCAAAAAAAAAAAAAAGAAGATTTATAATAACACAAAGAAAATGGAAAAATGGTAGAATTGCTTTTTAAAAACAATAATGAAATAAAATCATCCTTCAGGGTTTTATTGCATTGCCATTCAAGAAGGCATTTTTAAAATGCAAAAAAAAAAAAAAAACCCACTTTCTTTGTCATCTGCCCTTTTGTTGTTGTTGTGCCATTGAGTAGGTGCCGACTCATAGTGACCTTGTATAGGGTTTCTGAGAAACAACTGGTGGATTTGAATTGCCGGCCTTGCAGTTAGCAGTCCAATGCTTATTCTATATAGCCACATCAGGACTCTAAAGAGAGAGAGAGTAGCATTCTAGCTTCTAATGATGATGGTGTAATTGGCTGTCCAATTGGAATCTCAAATTAGGAGTTTTGAGATGATGCCATCCTACTGATGCCATAGGATAAGTACTTGATCTCAAGGTCGGTTTAAGCCTCAAGGTCAGTTGTTCAAACTCATCAGCCACTCCTTGGAAACCCTTAAAGGGTCGCTATGAGTCAGAAGTAACTCAACGGCACTTAACAATAGCAACATCCTGGATATATTTTTTCAAATTCAAGAATCAGAGTAATATACTTCTAAGGATAAAAAGAAAATTCGGACTCTCAGTCTCTCATCATCCAATAGGAAGGATTTCATCTTGTGATGGTTTGTCGCAAGAACTTGAACCATCTCATTTTGCTAAAAGGACATGTGAGGGTTGATGATACTTGCATTTTTTATGGTATTTATGCCTCCAAGTTTACTTAACACAAAGATATTTATTAATATTTAAGTTATTTTCGCTATGTCTTTTCTTTCTTTCAGGTATACAAAAAACTAAAGTATTTGATAAAACTTCAGATTCTTTTTAAATTTAAGTCCCACCAGGAGCAGTCAGGGCTCAGAAATCTGAATTTTTCCAGAGAATTCTTTCAGACGTGCTATGTAAGTCAAAGACCTCTACCACCTGCCTCCACATATTGAATGTGGGTCCACAGTGGTCTATCTCAAGTGCCCTGATGAATGCTGTGGATGGCTACACACCCCTGAATATGAAGGAGCAATTTTTAATAGATGCAGAAATTCAGAACATTCTTTCAACAGAGACTACAAACAGGAAACCACTGCACCAGAAGCTACAACCTCATTTCTGACCTACCATCCCTGTTCCCACACTCGAAGACCGGCAGACAGACATGCCCAGTCCAGAAGACACCAGACGGTTCCTAGTCCCACGCTCTAGACATCTTACTTGGTCACATGGTGATCAAGGTCAGGATCCAAATCCAATTCGGAAGATCTGCGCTACAGAGTCTTGACAACAATTTTCGTGCATGTTGTTGTTGTTGTTGTTGTTGTTATATGCTGTGGAGTCGGTGCCATCTCATAACGACCCTGCATATGGTTTCCGAGACTGTGAATCTTTACAGGGGCAGAATGGCTGGTAGTGTCGAACTGTCGACCTTGAGGTTAACAGCCCGACTCATAACTACTATGCTACCAGAGCTCCGTGCACAGCACTGAACAAAACATTGAAACCGTTTCTAGTTGTGCTATGACCACACACTTTGAATGGACTTTTTTGCACACAAATGATTGAGACTAACGTGTATTCATTCAATAATCAACCCCATGGTTGTAGATGGTCCATCAACCATGTTGGAAAGGTTGGTAAATCACCTGGAGAGAGAAGCTTCTACTTTCTCCCTTCCCCACCCCACTGACAGGAAATGGAGACAGGCTGCTCTCCATTCACTGGGGACTGAAATCCAAGATAGTTAACTCTTCAGGGTTCAACCAAGAGAAGCCATATAGAGATCTCTCAAGAGATCTTTCCTTAAAGACCTATGCACTTTCAATGCAAGTTGGTACCTTTCCATCTGGACTCAGCCTTTGCCCCAAATCTCCTGTAGGTAATAAATGTATCTGTTGTGTATTTATCACTCTAATGGGTAAAAGAAGCTAAAGATGAGCTTGAGCATAAAACTAAGCAAGATATCATTTTGTTGTTATTATTAAGGGCTGTTGAGTCGTTTCCAACTCATAGTGACCCTGTATAGGGTTTCTGAGGAGCAGTTGATGGATTTGAACTTCTGACTTTGTGATTGGTCCTACAGTGCCAATTAAACCTGTCTATATCTACTAGGTATACTTCAGACATATTGTCAGGAGGGACCAATTGCTGGAGAAGGACATCATGTTTGGTAAGGTGGAGGGTCAGAGAAAAAGAGGAAGACCCCCAACGAGATGGACTGGCCAAGTGGCAGAATTGATGGATTCAAGTGTGGCAACAGTAGTGAGGTTGGCCCAGGATCGGGCCGTGTTTCGTTCTGTTGCACATAGGGTCGTTATGAGTCGGTACGGACTCGATGGCACCTAACAACAACAACAACAATATCTACTAGGTAAGGAGCT